CGGAATTCTTGGCCACACAGATGGTTGATTTGTTGTCACAATAGAGAGCAGGAACAGTGTGAGTGGCGCGGAGTTCGCGAAGAATATATATGACCCACATGGTCTCAGCAGCGAGAAGAGCAAGGGCGTGATATTCAGCTTCAGTCGAGGACCGAGAGACCTTGAGTTGTTTTTTTGTACACCAGGAGATCAGGTTCGGCCCCATAAAAATGAGAAACCCCGATGTAGATTTTCTGTCATTTTTATCATTCGCCCAATCTAAATCTGAGAACCCCCAAAGCTCCAAGTCCCCGGGTCGAATGAGTAAACCACGACCAAGAGTGCTAAAAATGTACCTAAGAATGCATTTTAGAAAATGGTAATCATGTTCACATGGTTGATGCATGCGCTGAGCAACTCGGTTGACAGCAAACTGGATGTCAGGACGGGTAATGGCCAGATACTATAGAGCCCCAATGAGGCTGCGGAAGTGGGTGATATCGGCAAAGGGGGTGTCGGCTCCATTCGTAGACGAAGAGACTGCCATCGGTGTTGTTGACTGGTGCATTTTTCCAGTCCAGCTTTCTGCAACAGATCTCGAGCATATTTTGACTGATGAAGAAATAAGCCGCTGCCTGTCCGAGAAACCTCCATTCCTAGAAAATAATGTAACGGGCCAAGGTCCTTCATTTTGAAGGTAGTATGCATAGCTCGAGTGACATCCTGAATGAGAGCTGCAAAAGAGCCTGTAATAATGATATCATCTACATAGACAAGAAGAATGACTGTACCGTGTGCTGAATGTCGAGTAAACAGACTCGTGTCGTGTACGCAACACGTGAAGCCGAGTCCCTGGAGGAACGTTTTCAGACGTGTGTACCAAGCACGGAGGCCTTTCTTGAGCCCATACAGAGATTTCTGGAGTTTGCAAACATGTTGAGGGAAGCGGGGATCAACATAGCCCGGTGGTTGCGTCATGTAGATAGTTTCATCAAGCATGCCATGAAGAAAAATATTGGAAACATCCAACTGATTGATGAGCCAATTGTTGCGCACGACGAGTGACAGTACCAGGCGAATGGTTTCCTGCCGAATAACAGGACTGAATGTCTCGGAGTAATCAATCCCATACTCCTGATTGTAGCCTTTAGCAACCAAACGAGCCTTGTACCTGGAAATACTGTCATCTGCATTGTGTTTAATTTTGTACACCCATTTACAGCCCACTGGGTGCCGCCCATGGGGCTTAGGTACAAGAACCCAAGTTTTCTGATCAGTCAAAGCCTTAAACTCGTCATTCATAGCATGACGCCAATAAGCATTTTTTTAGGCAACAGAGTAGGTTGTTGGTTCACTATCGGGAAGGGGTGTATTTGGTAGTATGGTAGCCTGAAAGGTTTTGGGTTTAAAGATACCGACTTTGCCACGGGTTAACATGGGATGAGTATTGGGGGGTGGCACGGGCGGTGGTGATTCGGGGGTGGCCGGGAAGGACCCAAAACGGATCGGGCTGGAGATGTTGTGGGTATGGGGTGGTTCGAGTTGGTTGTGAGTGTGGGTGGTGGTTGCGGGTGTATTGTGGGTGATGGTCGAAGGGGTGACGAGGGGAGGTTGGGTAGTGGGTGGAGGTGTGGGGGAAGGTTGTGAGGGACCCTGTGAGTATGTTGGAAAAAGGGGAAGGACGCCAATGAATGATGTATTTGTGGAGGAGGAAATAGACTCGTAGGGAAACTCATTTTTGATAAATTTGACATGACGAGATATGTAGACTTTATGAGTTTGTGGGTCAAGAAAGCGATAACCCTTGGAGGTAGGATGATAGCCCAAAAAAATACAAGGACGAGATCGGGGTTGTAATTTGTGAGTAATATGAGGGCGTAGCCAAGGGTAAGCAAGATACCCAAAGACGCGGAGGTTGGTATAATTGGGAAGTTCTTGGTAAAGGAGTTGATAGGGTGATTTGTTGGAGAGGGTGTGACTGAGCATTCTGTTAATGAGGTAGTTTGCGGTGGCTAGAGCTTCTACCCAAAAGGAGACGGGGAGATGAGATTGATGTAGAAGAGTAACCACCGTTTCAATGAGATGCGATGCTTACGCTCATCCACCCCATTCTGTTCGGGAGTGTATGGACAGGAGGTTTGATGTATAATTCCCAGGGATTGCAGAAACTGGCCAAAGATGTTATTTACATATTCCTTTCCATTGTCACTTCGAAAAAGTTTAACATGAGAATTGAATTGTGTTTTGACCATTTTTTCAAAAGTGACAAAGGTGGTGTATGCCTGTGATTTGTGTTTTAGTGTGTACAACCAAGTGTATTTTGTAAAATCATCCACAGAACAAATATAATAGCGAAAACCAACAAATGAAGGAACAACAGTAGGACCCCATAGGTCAGAATGAATAAGTTGAAAAGGTGCAGTTGTACGCTTCTCAGAAAAAGTAAAAGGTAATTTATGAGATTTAGCAATTGAACAAGAGTCACAATTGTTTACATGAATGGAAGAAAAACCTAATTGAGACATTAAAGAATTTATTATTTGAGTAGACGGGTGACCCAGACGACTGTGCCACAACAGACTGTGGCCATTAGCCGAAAGAGCCACCGGAGCCACAGGAACGTTTTCTGAAACTGGGTGGGCAGACGAACTTGTGCCAGGAATAACATACAGACCATGCTCACATGGGCCCTGAAAAATCACTCTCTTGGTAGTATTGTCTAGGATTTGAAAATCATTAGAGGTGAACAAGAGTGAGCAATTATTGTCTTTTGTGAATTGGTGAACTGAAAGGAGATTGGTTTTAATAGAAGGTACGTGGGTAAGGTTACCTAGGTGAAAGATAGCGGTGGGGGTTTTAATGGTACCCGTGCCAGTGTGAGAAATATTAAGGGACTCACCGTTGCCAACAGTAATACCATTGGAGCCATGATATGGAATTGGAGCGTTAAGCTTGGATAGATCAGAAGTAACGTGCATGTTGGCCCCAATATCCAACAGCCATTCAGAGGAGGGGCCGGCTTGAGATGCATAATTGGCACGGTTTTCACTTTTTCGGCTCTCCTCATACCGAAACCAGCAACGAACAGCGGCGTGTCCTGTTTTTTGACAGATTTGACAAGTTGGACGATCCCGCTCGTAAGTGCCCTGCCCGCCGCTGGAAGATGACTGCCCGCCGCTGCCGAAGGAGTGCAGGCTGTTGTTGCTGTCGTGCTGCTGACCGTCGTACGGCGGACGACTGCCCTGCCGACCGCCGCGCCCGCGGCCTCCGCTGTTTCTGCTGTAGCCGCCGCGACTCCCTTGCCGGCCGCCACCATGCCCCCCGCGATAGTTCTGGCTTGCGGTGAGGGCGGTGGCCGGCTCCATAACAGCGGCTTCTCGGAGAAGAAGTTTGCTCTCCAGATCCTCGTTGATTTCTTCACTTTTTAGCCATGAGGAGAGAGTAGCCAGGTCAACGAGCATTGGAATGATGCGAACCGCCTGTTTAATGGAGGAGTAAGCTGATGGGAGCCCCCGAACGACGCACATGACGAGATCTTTTTCGGGAATGATTTCGTTCACGGTGTCGAGGGCTGTGATGATGGTGGAGACCTCGTCTAAATACTCCGCCATAGTTTTTGTGCCTTTGGTAATTGTGTGGAGACGATCACGCAATTGAAAAATATGAGAGTGGGAAATTGATGCATAGCGTGTTGCGAGGGCCGTCCACAGGGCTGAAGCAGTTGTGTAAGATTGGATGTGTTTCTGAACCGTGGGAGAGATGACCGCAATCAAACATGATCGGATCTGGCCATCCACGGCTTTCCAGGCGGCATGGGCCGGATTGGTTTTTTCTGATTTGTCCGTGGCGGTGATGACTGCCGGCGGTGGTTCTGTGCTTCCATCGACGTATTTGAGAAGGTAATTGGCCTCAAGGGCTGTAAGAACGGTGATTTTTCATGTAGGGTAATTTATGTCTGATAATTTTTTGGGAATCAGGGCATGAAGATGCCTGAGAAGGAGTTTAACGCCAGAAGGAAGTGAATCGAGAGGATCCACCTCGGTTGTCATGGCTGCCGCCGCCCAAAAGAAGAGAGGCAACGATCGGTGCCCTAAAGAGAGAAAAAAAAAACCTAGAGAAAAGAAGATCTAGGTTTTCTGGCTCTTGATACCATGAAGGAATATTGATTGTATTGAAGTATTAACCTAATAAGGGAATACATGGGAGATATATATAGGAAATATAGGAAGGAGTACTAATCCTAATAGGACTAGGATTAAGGAGTACTAATCCTAATAGGACTAGGATTAGTACACAATAAATACTAATATTATTTAATACTATTTATTTAATACTATCTGTTATTAATTTCAATGTCTTATTCACTCAAATTAATTTGTGTATGCGGCATATCAAATTTTAAAATCAAGTTTTGAAGAAAGTTTAATGGCTGAAACTCGTCTCAATGAAATTAATGGCCTAAAGCCAAACTATAATAAGAGGCCTTAAATATAAAAACATGTGCACAAAATTATTAATTTTCCCTTTTTTTTGGTTCTTGTATACTATTTGTTTTTAGGTACATTCTTAAAAGCTATAAATTCATATAATAATATTATTGTTGATAAGAGTAACTGTTAATTAGTTCTAGTTAATATGAAGTAAACATTTGTTTGCAATACATCCTTTGGATGTTGATTTAAAAACTTTATTTAGTAATATGAAAATTTAAATTGTTTGATTCAAAGTGTAAAAATATTCTTAATAAAAAGTAAAGAGTTCTTCTTTTCTTTAGTCTTTATATAATGTTCAATATTGTTTTTGATAAATTTCACTCTCAATTTCTTTTGAGGTCTCAATATTTATTTATTTATTTATATATATATATATATATATATATATATATATTATCCAAGAAAAATATATTTGCACACCTTGATTAAAGAAAAATATATCTAAGTATCTCCAAGAGAATTTGTTCTTCATGGACATGAGCTTGAGTAATAAATTATATCTTGTTTGTGTTCGTTCAATATATAATGAATGATACTAAAGTAAGAGTAAATTTAATATTGTACATGTATTCCTTCTGTTCGTAACACCACATAACCAAACTACATCTTATTCAATATATATAAAGCCATCATCAACATTGAAGTGATCATAATGCAACAATCATATCTCTACGAAGTTTGAAATAATCTAGCATTGCATTTCGATTTGGGATATTTTCTTTGATGATAGCTACTTGTTTGAAATTGTTAATCCAAGATTGTAAATGAGGAAAATTGTTTGGTTCATAGACCTTTACTCCAGCAGCTTCTTGTATGACTTCTAGCCAGAAAGCAAGCCACCCAAAGGCTATGTCAATTAAACCAATCGTATCCCCACTAAAAAACTTTTTATCTCCAAGACCTTGTTCCTCTATAATTTTTAGGATTTTTTTGGCATTTTCAGTTGCCTTGACTTGCTCTTCTCCAATCTTGTGAAATATTTGATGAAATTCTGAGTTCTACATTAAAACAATAAAATGTTACTACTTTATATTGGACCTATTAAATTTAGTACTATTTTTTCATGAGATAGTTCACATAATTCAACAAAATATACTATTGTAAGTTTAAATCTTATCCATCAACGCAAAACCTTGTGTCTTTGGCTCAAGACTCATAGTCAAGAGAATGATTAGGCCTATACATGAGGGTATGTTGTCGATCTATAAAATATAGAGAGAAGTATTGAAATCTTGGTGTAAGTGATTAGTTTCGTCTTCAAAATATTGACAGTCTTGAAAACACCCTTCTACTTGATTAACTAAAAGCTAGATACACCCTCGATCATCCTCAATCTGCCACATGACATAACCATATAGTTCAAGCTCTTGTAGAAGTGTGGGGTTCTTAATATAAAGCCGAGAGAATTGTTAAAAATATCCTTAAGCTAGATAGTTTCACTTATGTTGTAAGATCGAGATGTATTTTAGTTCAATTAGTCAAGTTAAGGGGGTGTTTTTACGGCTATTAATAGTTTAAAGATGAAACTAATAATTTACACCTAATTTAGGGGTGTTTTCAGTACTTCTCTCTAAAATATATTTTAAAAAAATATCATTGTTAAAATCTTAGATGACATAATTCATATAATTCCATACTTGTCAACAACAATTACACCTCAATATCAAGCAGATTGGTATGAATCCTCTTTGTCTATCAAGCTCTTGCTTGTCCTTTATTAGAAAAACTTAATTTCTCCATAGCTAAAGCCTAAAAGTTCTCTATATTTTCTACTAACATATAAATGATCCCTAAGACATGTTAAGTGAATCTTGATCGACAACCACTAGACCTAAAGTAAACGTACTAATGTGACAAAATTAAAGACGAATAAAATATTATTACCTTATCTTCTCCGAACTTGATCCAGAATCTAGCCTTAGCCTTTTCATAAGGATCCTTTGGGAACAAAGGATTTTGGGGCCATGTTTCTTCAATGTATTCAAGAATGATTGTTGATTCAACTATTGGTTTTTCATTATGTACAAGAATTGGGATCATCTTATAGATAGGGTTATATGTCAAAAGATGTTGGCTTTTGTTAGAAAGATCTTCTTCTATGTATTCATAACTAATATTTTTGTGTTTCAAAGCCCAAATGATCCTATGACTAAAGGGACTTGGAAAAGCTCCAAACAATTTCACTTGCTCTTCCATTTTTTTTTCCTCCCTAATAAGTTGTGGTTGTTTGCAAATTTCAAGGCTTTAAGCTTTTGATCAAATGTCAATTATTAATGAGTTTAAGTTAAACTATTGTTGTACCAATTTGAATGATTGAAATTTTACTTTAAAAAATGAGACAAGTGGAGTCAAGCTTAGAAATTTCAACTTAAATAATGATGGTTTGATGGCTACTTAGTGTTTATCCTATCCCAAACCATGTTCTTATTTCATTTAGTTATTTATTAACGGTCATCAATTTTTGTTTCTTTTATTGTATGAATCATCTCTTCAATTTTTCATCTTTAAATTGTACCCGTTCCATTAATTACAATTTAATTTATTCACGAGTCAATATTTTATATTACATTCTTAGTTTCTAAATCTAGGAATTATTAAAAGAATCTTTGTTAATAGTAATTTAATGAGCAACTTTCACATATAACAAATATAAAAGTTATATTTATATGCTATAATTATAGTTAAAGTTTGCTATGGAGCATCATATTGTATAACTCGCTGTCTCCTCTTCAGATTTGTATAATTTCGCTGATAAACTCTCAATTCAATTTTATGTGTTTGTATATCTGCATAAAACTTTAAATTTTTATATAATTGAATCAAAATAAAACGTTTGTATATCCAATCTTTTTCTCTCTGTTACTTTATACAAACATAAATTATACATTGTATTTTGTTTAGTTTGTGTTTGTATAAAACGAGAAAGAGAGAAAGACAAAATGTAATAAGATAAAGATATATGTGTTTTCATGTGTATATATAATTTTCTCTCACTTTATACAAACAGAAACATAATTTATACATTTGTGTTTTTATAAACCGAGAGTGGCGAGGGAGAGACTAATGAGCTAAAATTGCAGCGAGGTTGACGAATAACAATTGTTTGCTACGAAATATAGTTAAATCAAACTGTGATTATAATATTTAATTTAAATTAATAATTTGCTATTATATATCATTTTTTCTAATTTAATATCAAAATTACCAAATTACTCAATGATTAGAAGCGCATATGTCGTCCAAGACTAGTGTGCATCTAGCCACTTATAATTAATGAATGATTTTTTTCGCATAAACTTAAAGAGTTTTTGAAAGAGTGAAGTATCAAAAAGAACTTAGACTATCCGTTTTTCTAATTTCACACCTAAACTATTTAGAGTTTAAAACACACATCTAACTTATTTCTTCGTATCACGTCAAAATTAATAAAAATATGTGAAACACCTCAAATAATATATGATAATTTATGTATGTCACTTTCTTTCTTTAAAATAAATTGCTTGTGAAATAATTTTACCATGGCCAAAAAAGGACAACACATAACTAACACATGTAACAATCAGATATATTTTAATTAGTTTCTCTTATTTTTTGGTTTTTTATATATCCAAAAATTGCATTAAAAAATATTGTAATAATGATTATAAATAGCTAAAAATTTTAAATTATTTCAATCAACACCACTAAAAATTTGTAGTTATTATACATATTTATTTTACACGTAATAAAATGATTTATTATTTGCTCGAAAGATAAATATATATTGGATATCAAATTGGCGAGAAAAAAAGAAGAAGAAATTTCTTCAATTTATAATTTTAAAATTCGTTTTATTTTAAAAGCCAAATATTATTAAGGAAGACAAAATCGTCGTGGCTGTGTTTGGATCATCCAAAACTAATATCCCTCCATTTCCCAACTCACGGTGGTAGCAGCCATGTTTATACCATCACAAACCACTGCATTTCTACCGGGATAACGTTGCTCAGCCATGGCTACGGCGGCGCTGTTCTCCTATATTACCGTCAATTCTCCCAACTTCCATCTTACCGCCAAACTGTCCGAATTCTCCCGCCAATTGAAATATGGTGGGAAATACTACTCCGGCTTCACTGACATCTCCAGTTCCAGACGCAAACCGAAATCGCTCTCCGTAGTTTGTAACAATTCGAGTCCTTCTTCTTCTGATATAAGGTAATCATTTCAGCTCCAGTAGATGCTTCTGTTGGTTGATTGATTTTGTTATAACAGGGAAGAATTGTAATGTGAGAAATTGCTAAAAGTATGCCCTAATAAAAGGAAACTTAAGTTTTAATTTGGAGTTATTCCGTACAATTCCAGTCGAATTTCATTATTGCATATGTTAGGAAGCTTTCTAGCAGAAGATTAATATGAATGGAGAGACTTACCTTTGTTTTATTGAAAATCCTGTTAATTGTACCAAGGAGCGAGATGTCAGAAATGTGCTTTAAAGGGAGCGATCATTGTCATTTGGATGTTAACATTGATAAGTAACTCCTATTTCGTTGAACGAGCTATATTAATCCAGTGGTATGTAAAGTTATTGCAGAATCAGAGGCATAGGTTGTTACTCAGTTAGCGTCTGTGTTCTGAATTGGGAGGATGTGCTTTGAGATACATATATAACTCTCTATACATCTTTTCTCTCCACCAACACATATATATGTATTTATGTGTTTATGGTTTGAGCTGGAAGCCGTGGGCTTAGCTTAACCCATACAACCTATTCTAAATACGCTACTGCATACTCCTTTAGTAACAGGGAACCCGCAACGAAGGATATGACATAGTTTAAAGAGCTTGTCTCCTTTCTTGAAACGAAAGTTTTAGTACTAATAATTATCAGTTAGTAACCTACTGCTTGTGATGTGTGTATCATATCACTGGTGAATAGGTAATACATATGTACATGCCTCCACTTATTGCTCATCTTTTGCTAGATTTTCAAGAGAAATTTGGTATGAATCTAGTCATTTATTAGCGGGAATAAGTATCTTGCAATTTCAGAATTCTCGGTAGATAGATATTCCCTTCAATATGTACAAACCTAAGCTAATAGTAGTTTGGTTTGTAGGCTAAATCCATCTAAAATAAATCATGTGGAGATCTATTTCGACAAGAAAATACATGCAATTAAAGCTTTAACTTATATGGTCCCTTAAGTTTTGAGGATAGGTATATTGGTCCATATTGAATAGTGAATACAGATTATGAATTTATATATTATAAGTTGAGTAGGCCAAATTTCACGACGTGTATAATTGCTAGCTTGATAAAGCATCAAATTGTACACGACTACTGACTTGTTTTATTGCTTCCTCACTTCTCGGTTGAGATGGAGTTTCCTGTTGTGTTTATTTGTGTATTTCAAATATTATTACTATTGGCCATTAGGTTAAAACAGAAATAAGCTGGTAACAGAACAACGTGTTATATATGAAACAATGGCTTACTAAGAATACTTTTGGTTGGAGGGAGGGATGAAGGGTAAGAGTGAGGAGCTTAAACCATTAGTTTATCTAGTACAAACCAATGGGCTACGGGTATATCTCCTCAGAGCTTTTAATGAAGTTAGTTTGCTCAGCAAAAAAAAAAGGGGGGGGGGGGGGATACTTTCCTTTTAACGGGGGTTCATCGTCTGCTCATAAGTTTCCCTGTTTATCTTAATGCTTGGAAATGGAATTCCTTTGGAGAAAGTTTGTACAAATACGTGTTCACCTCTGCAGCAGAATGGGTTTGGAAAGTTATTTGTTAAAGGTTATAATCAAGCCTTGTTTTATTGTTGAATCAACAGCGAAGAACTTGCTGCTCCAGAAGAGCATCAATAGTGCAGCTCAATTTTGTGTTACAATCGCTATTTCCAGATCTAATTGTGTGCATTAAGGTCCTTCTATTGCACATTTAGCCATAACAAGTCTACACTTTTTCGAGTTTCTGACAGCTGTTAAGAATGTGTGAAATTTAACTCAACCTTTAGCGTGGATATGTTTTCTGTATATGTGTACCCCAGTTTCAGTACTCATCTAATTAAATAACTTCTATCAAAATATTTTGCCACCATTTCTTTAAAGTAAAACAATCTTTTGACCTTCATGTTATTTGTTATTTAGTTCTACGGCCAAGATAAGAAGTGAAGTTCTTTCTCCCTTTCGGTCTGTTCGGATGTTCTTCTATGTTGCTTTTATTGCAAGCGCTGGTCTTGGAGGACTTATTGCCTCTACACGACTGATTGCTGCATTGGCCAATTCATCAAGAGGTGCAGAAGTTCCTGAGATCCTAAAAGGTCTCGGTATAGATCTCGGTGCAGTCTCCATATTTGCTTTTCTGTATTATAGAGAGAATAAAGCGAAAAATGCTCAGGTAGCAAAATTAGCAAGAGAGGAAAATCTCTCAAATCTTAAGCTCCGTGTGGATGATAAGAAAATTGTCCCGGTTAGTGCTTTCAGAGGAATTGCTCGTTTGGTCATCCTTGCTGGCCCTTCGGCTTTCATTTCAGAATGTTTTAAACTCAGTGCACCCTTTACTGAGGGCCTTCTAGAAAGAGGAGTGCTTGTGGTCCCTTTTGCAACTGATGGAATTTCTCCTAGCTTTGAATTTGAAGAGAATGACGAACTTGAGGAGAAAATTTCCAGAAGAAAAAGGCTATGGCAGCTTGCTCCTATTTATGCCACTGAGTGGACCAAGTGAGTGAGCTACCAACAACATGAAATTTTCTAGTTTGAAACTATTTCTTCTCTCACTTGTGCTGCTGAAATTAACAATAATTACATTGACATTGAGAAGTAAAAACAAAGATTCTCATATTTGGTTCATTCGTGATAGGTGGATAGATGAACAGAAGAAACTAGCCGGTGTTTCTCCTGAATCTCCAGTGTAAGTATTCTGCAACTATAGTAGTATATATAGGTTTTCTAAGAGAAAGATCGGTTGATTGAGTTCTTCATGGTACGTGTCAAATAAGACTGCAATGTAAGCATTATTGAGTTCAGAAAAATGGACTGTCTTCATGGTTTTACGTGAATCTTTGAACAAATCTTGTAATGCTAGTAGACATTGTTATATAAGAGTTACTAACTTTAAACAGTTGAATGATGTTTGGTCATTTTAATCATGTGCAGGTACTTATCTCTACGCCTGGATGGTCGTGTGCGTGGCAGTGGTGTTGGTTGTCCTTCTTGGAATGCTTTCGTATTGCAATTGCCACCAGTAAAGGGCATTTGGTCTGGTCTTCTTGATGGCATGGATGGAAGAGTGCTTTAAGAATTGAGATCAGATATTGTCTTCTCTTTCTTATTCTTTGAAGAACTATATTATATTATGTTGACAATGTACTTATTTCCTCTTCAATATATAATTGCAGCATTCACCAAATTATCTTTTGCTTCGTTTACTCCGTTCCTCCCTCTCTTTTTTCTTTGTTGGTGAGGTTAACTTTACGTGTATCCAGGCCAGGATGTTTCCGACAGTGGAAGCAGGGGATGGGATCCAGGGTATGCATGTTGCATGGATCAAGTTTTAATAATCCTATGACCGAAAATGGAATGTGGTATTAATTACTATTTTTTCCATGATAAGTTTATTTGATAGAGAAAGTTGTCTATTTGACGTGTAAAAATGGAAGTCCTCAAAAATTTCATATTTACATAGATTATTACTGTTGTCTATAATTGACGTTTTGATTGGTAGTGTCTTTTTCCTATTGAATAGCTACATTTCTTTGCTTCCAAAACATGAAAATGTCTTGCTACATGCTACTTTGATCACTATCATCTCACAATGGAATGGAAACAAGAGAGATCAATTAAAGTGTAAGCCAAAAGACAGGAATAGAACGGTGAATGGATCCCGTGCCCTGTTACTGCATTGAGGTAAAAACTCTTTCCTCTCTTTGAGTTCTGAACCATGATTTAATTTGTGCTGTTTTAGCCATATAACTGTTATCTATACAAGGTAGCATATGATTCACACTTAGTTACCAAAAAGCACAGCAAATATGTTAGTATTTTGGGGGTTCTGATCATTCTTTATGTCCTTAATTAGATAGTCTACCTTAAGGTGTAGACCCGTCATACAGACACAAACCTCTCCAACATGATGTTCGCAAGATCGTACGAACGGGATCGAGTAATGGCAACACGCTAAATAAGAAATGGGGGGAGAAAGTTGCCAGAAAATTATGATACACATTCACATTCAAAGCCAGTATATAACTAGAGATAAAACATGGAAAGCACACGGGCTGGACAAATTACAAATATGGAAAACCTTGAACTAATTACTTCCACTCCTTCATTTCACTTCTTCAACTTCGTCCAATGCGTAGTTGTTAGTGGATACATTAGCATAGTTCACTTTGTTGAACCTCACTACAACTGGATAGCGTGTTTTTGGATCCTGCAACATCACCATTAACAATAACATCAAAAGGTATTAAATTTCAACTCTCACAAGTGACAAAGAACATGGATTCCAATCAATTCCCTTACCTGATCAACTGCTACAACTGAGCCGGTACCCTTGTACCAGTAGGACTCCTTTCTTAAAATTCTCACCTGTATTCAGAACATTTTAAGAATCAATTGGTAATGAACAGCCTGAGCTGAGGACACCACCATAAGAGACTGTGGATGTACAAATGCCTACTATAACAGACTTAAACTATAATACTTGGATAAAAATTAATGATATTTATACACAAGTGTGCTGTTTTTTTTTGAGCCCATAATTTCTTAAGTAGATTGAGTTTTTGTGATAACAACCTGTATGTTAGAATCCAATCTTAAATGTTGAAGTAGCATCTATATATATGTGTCTATATACTTTTACTGCTTTTAAATCTTGAATCATCAGTGTGAATACATACTATATAAGAGATAAGTTGGTCTTATTTCTTTTATTGAACAACTTACTTTGGTTCCTCTCTTGGGTCCAATTGGAGGTGGCTTGACAGCTTTGGCAGGAGGAGCTTCGCCTTCAGCGGTGGCAGTAGGAGCTGGTGGTGCAGCTTCTTCCGCGGCCCGTACAACGAGCCTGGGGATGTTGGTGGTGGTGTTCTTGGAGGAGAAAGATAACATAGAGCTCTTTGGAGCAGAGTTAGAGGTGACATTAGGGGTTGCCACCATAAAACCAGATGCAGCAGAAGCCATGCTGCTACTTGCCATGCTTTTTTTTTGTGTTTCTTTGTCTGAACTTGTTCTTCTGCTGCAGAGGAATGATGAAAATTAATGTAAAGAGCAAAAGCAGAAGTAGGATTTGAGAGGCTTTGAGTTAATGGGATATCTTTTTCCTGGACAAAAGATCAACCTAACTACCACACGACATTGCTCCATCCACTGACACGCTGCCACATGGTACCATATCCAATTCATATGGATAATGTTACCACTTTTATTTCGTCTCACATATTTTGCTTTTTTTTTGTTATTCATAGTGTATTATTAATTTTTAATTGTGCTTTTAACGGTGTGACTAAGTGATTAATGTATATGTAGTTGGTTAATAATCATGAGGTTCAAGGTTCAATTTCATCGAAACAAAGATTAGATGATTCCTTCTTATCTTTCTTGATGATTAGAGTTATTTGATATTTACGAGGTATGTTGAAATTAGTTGAGGTGTGCGCAAGCTGGTTTAAACACCAAGATTTATAAAAAATATTTTAATGTAAAATTGAGCTATTTTGACTTTTATGATATTTAAAATGAATAGGCAATGTTGATTCTTTTAACGGGAACCCTTCCAAGCATTAATATCTCTTATTATTAGCTCACATTAACACATTTATTACTTTTCCTCAATATATATATATATATATATAGTCTATTTTCCCTTTTAGAATATCTGAAAAGGTTGTTCACTGTATGATTGAATTACAGAATACTGTCAAGAGATGCTTCCTCCAAAATAAAACATTTTAGAATGACCAACATGTGAACAAGAGCTCCAGGACAGTTTTCCAAGAAGACCAACTAGTGCACAAGTGAATGAATTTTGAATTATAGTTTTTTTTTAAAAAAAAAATTAGGAAAAGGAGTTGAAAAATACCATTTTAATTTTAATTTATTAGTTAAGTTCGTTCTTCGTTATATTATAGAGCTATTTATAATCTCGTTGATAAGATACTCATCACATATACCTCTATTTTAAACATTTTCAATGTGACATTTTAAAATCCTATGTGGCTTAACATTGATAAGATACATGATTATGTGATTGGATATATATATATTATTTTGATGATGAGTGGTTGAGCCTGATGTGAGTGATTATGTGTGGAATCGAGTACCATTTCGATATGATACAAAGACACTTGATTCCCCATAATTTATTACTAGATGAGCAAAATTAACAACTCTATAGCATGTGTATAGATGAGCAATTGTGTGGGCGAGTGATGAAATAGTTGAAACTGATGAGATCAAAGATTATATTGTGAGAGATCAGTAAGGATATGATTTTATTGATTGTGTGACTACTTAATTATTGCAGAGTTGGTAAGTGATTGTTATATTGTAAGATATCGATATGTCAGAAATGAAGTTAGATATATGTGGACACTCATAAGTTTGAAGTATTAATGTCGTGTTATGGCTCACGCCTCATTATTTATTAACGATATGAATTAATTAACGAGCTTCTTGATTCTAACGATTTGAAATAATAAGATTTAAGGTATTTTAAGTTATTTTAAATTAATCTCATCACTCATCATAAATTTTTAGTTAATATATACAATTTACGTAATTATATGTACACTCGAAAACCGTCTCAAAAAAATTCTGCTAAATATTTGGTTAATTAGCTTAATTGTTTAATAATAGTTTATTTTAAATTATTTGACTAAATTAATTATTTTATTTCGTCAAAATTAAGAAACTCGTTAATTAATTACTAAGAGCTTGTCCAATCTATGTTTCGCCAGATTTATTAATAAAGTTCCAATTTGGTTAAATTAACAATCCATTTAGTTGTATAAGACCAAATTTTGGACTCCATCTCTTTTGTGTAGCAGCCCACTACTTCAAGCCCAAACCCTTTTTATTCGATTCCCAACCTAATATAATTACAACAACAATCCTGTGACTCAGCTTTTATTTTTTGTTCAGCTAAATCTAATTCAAAATGCCGAGCCCAGCGTGCATTTTTCTTTTATCTGCCCAACTCCCTTGACCCAACCGTTTTCCCTTTTTCTCAATTCAGTAAGCCCAACCTGTCCAACTAATTATCCCATTAGCCTCCATTCCAATCCAAAATATCAGACCCGACCCCTGTTCCTCTTTCCCCTTCGGAATCGGTGATGAGAAATCCAACGCGTATAGAGCATTCCTTCTCCAATTTCTTTTCCTCTATCTAGATTCGTACCAAGGGCGTGAACAACGAGGGTGAGTGCGATGGAAGAACAAGGAGAATAGCACGCTGCGTCGCTTTCACCCGTATCTTTCCCCTTTCTGCTTTTGTACGACTCCTGCAACGTCTCTCGTCCTTGGCTCGTGTGGATGGACGCCACGTCGAGTACAAGGACGGGAAGATTGAATCCTAGCCATCCCCTTGATCTGTCAATCCGGATTTTGGGGGATTTGGCCATTATTGGTACAAAGAGGTAGCTTTCCTTGGTCCTTGGGGAGGTGATTTTGAATTTTGGGGCTCGATTTGTCGATTCTACCATCCCCCCCCCCCCCCAAAATTCGAAAACCCTATTCTCTTGCTATATATAATCGCTTTGAAGAAAGAAGAGGAGAGAGAAAAAAAAAACTTTCCTTGAGTTTGTGATTTTTTCAGAGTAAAGAAATACAGAGAAAGAGAAGAGGAATTGAAGGATTTGAAGCTTTCTGGCGAGCATGAAACACCAAAATAAACCACATACGAAACAGAGAATATATATATACACAAATATCAATTACGTTCGAAGGAATAACAATATAGTTTTGGTCGAAGCTTCCCATTTTTGACTCATTTACATTCTGTATCTTCAATTTTCCGTTTGAGACTCGACAGAGTTTTCGAGTCTTCTCGTTGCCGTCCGATACTGTGGAAATTGTTGCTGTTCTAAGATCGTTCTTGTAACAACCCTAAAAATGGATATACTAAGTGATACTTAATGTGTCAAAGAATGCCTGTGATTAGACCAGGGTTCACACGGATTGATGCGCATAAAATCAGACTTCGAAACGCTTGCTACATCCAAACCAACTAACTTGGGGAGTTAGTTGATCTAGGAAAGGTTGGGTCCAACCATGTAGGGTTCTCGAATACGAAGATTTACTCGAGGGAGTCTTTACCGGACTTAAAAAGAGGAAATCTTAGGTTTTGGAGGGTCTAGGGGTAAAATGATCTTTTTCCAGTCTAAGGGTAACATCGTAATTACCCTAAATATAATAAATTATTTAATTAATAAGGTGGAGGGGCAATTTGGAGAGAGAGAGCCGAAATTGAGCTGTTGAAGTGAAGTCTTGCTTCACCCGGGTTCGAACTTACGTGGAAGCAATTAATTAATGTGATTTTTATTTAAGCTATTGAATTAATATAATTAATTAATAATTATTATTTATTAGCTGATTTAAAATAAAATAAAAATCAGATTTTTAATAATTAAGTAAACCTTATTTGACTAAGTCCTAAACTAGACTCCTAAGCCTAATATAACTCCTACTCTCTCACGTCTATCTTTCAACTCTCGAGCTCAATCTCCCTTCTTATTTCACACGAAAATTCTCTACCAAAATAAGATACAAAAGCTGAAAAATAAACCAAGTTCTTCACACTTGAATAACTCATACAAAATCACAAGAAAACAAACATTGATCGCACACTAGGATAAGGGAGGTTGTCATTCGAGTGGAGTTGATATTGAGGAGGTTTAGACGCGTTCTTGGGTGAATTTTTTGTGCAGCAAGTCAAGAGTTTAACGTCAAAAAGGTATGTGTTTTCTTCTCTCTTGGTCCCTTTCCCAAGAGACCCCTTAAGATTCAGTCAAATCTAATCCGAAAACTAGGATTGTTCCCGTTGCATGTCCCTGCCACTAGCTCCCGTTGATTCGTAGGTTGGGTATGTTTGCTGTAGATATTAGGCATGTAATGTGTTTTCGTGTAGAATATGTTCATGAATGTTGTTTGGAATTGTATGAATGACAACCTATGTTTTTTTCGAAAAGGTGTGTATGTGTGTACAATGTAGCCGTGACTCCTTTGGTTTGAGGTTTAAAAATAACATGTTATGGTTTTGTTCTTACGTGCACAAACTTATATAAATCGTGATGTTCATAAGTGATGTAAATATGTTTGTTTGAGTGCAATTCTTTATCGAATGAAATCTTGAAAATGCACCTAAGGACTCACTAAAAAACTACTTAAAACATCTAAACATTTAATGTGAAAAAAGTGAGAAAATAGGCTGCAAAAATTTCCAGCAGCTTGTTAATGGGTTTCGGCCAAGCTAAGGAGAATTTCATGCTATGAAAAAAATAAACTAAAACATGTGAGATCACCGGGGATTGAACCTGTGACCTCACCATGTTGGAAATCAATGAAATAAGGTGAGAAAAAGGGAATATGGCATGTGGGACTCGAACCTATGACCTTGATGGGAAAATAAAAAAAAGTGAAAAGAAAAAAGAAATGAGAGGAGTGTGATTCGAACCTACAACCTCTCAGACAGTAAAGGAGAAAGGAAAAATATGAAAAAGAAATGAAATGAAAGGAGTGGGATTCGAACCCACAACCTCTCAGGCAATAAAGGAGAAAGAAAAAATGAAAAAAAAAGGAATGTGAGGCATAGGATTCGAACCCACGACCTGTTAGGCAGATTTAAGGAGAATTAAAAATGCAAATAAAAGAAATGTGAGGCGTGGGAATTGAAACCACGACCTCTAGGCAGTAATGGAGAATTACAATAAAAATAAAGTGAGGCTGTGAGGGTTTGATCCCACAACCTCATTGTCAATGCGAGATAGTCAAGGAGAAATAAAATAAAGAAATAAAAGGGGTTGTGGGGGTCCGAACCCACAACCCTCAACCAAAAGGAGAGAGTTTAAATAAAAATAAATTAAAAGAAAATGAGGTTGTGGGGGTTCGATCCCACATCCTCTCAATCCCATTGAGCGAAAAATGAAGAGAAAAATTAAGGGGAAAAAAAATAAAATGAAGGTGTTTGGGCTCGATCTAGGGTCTCAATGTCATAAGGATTATTAGTAAAATCAATGAAAAATGTAAGAGTTGTCCAAGGGATTCGAACTTGGGTTCCCTTTCCCAAATTTCTGTATTGATACATAAATCATACGTGAATTAAATGTTCAAGAATAATTCCACCTACTTAGATCGAAATCGATATCTTGGCATACATACAAGATACATAAGTATTGTACCACATAATCT